GAGAGAGAGAGAGGGAGGGAGAGAGAGAGTTAAAGAAGTAGAAAAGAGGATTAAAACGAACACGCGGGCCCTCTCATAAACAGAAATAATGGAAGGAGACGCAAATGAATGACAGGGACAATGCTCAAGCACATTGGATAGGGAGACGGGATAAAGCAGTAGTTGCGCGACGGCCGCTCGATCGCTGTAAAGAAACAAGAGATGGAACATGTGCACGGAGTGGGCGGGGCTTGAGCAAGGAGTTCAATGAGAAACAAAAGAACGAGTTGAAATGCTCACGACAACAGAGCGAACGGCCAAAAGACACCGCCCATCTATTGATTTCCTGGCACGGACAGCCCGCCTCTCCATCGACCAGGCCTGGGAAAAGTTGAGCTCGGAATGAGCACGCTTCTCTCCCAGTGGTCGCTCGAGGTCCTGACTTCTCACTAATGATCGCCCGGGAAACTCTCTCGCTCGCTGTCACAGATCTCAGAGCGAAACAGCTGTAACTGAGAGGCTTATTCTAGTTTTGTACTGTTTTAGGTTCCTGTCTCCCGTATCTAAAAAGCTTAATTTACGATATAATACAATTGCAGCTCTTTCGAGGCATTCAAGTGACATCAACCGAAGAGCTATAGGTCTTTAATAGCTATTCTGGTTTTCGACGGCTTACCCGACTAAATTTGTCGCGACGCGGTGGAATCAGATGTTCGTCAATTTTTAGGTATATTATGGCGTTATTGATAACATCTTAAAGCTTGAAGAAATATGTCCAAATCTCTTGAATTGGAGAGATATTTGCTATTGAAGGAGATGGGGGTCGTCTGGTATCACGGAGAAAAAAAATTAGCGAGAAAATGGCCGCCAAAGTTTGGAGACTTCCAAAACTTGCGAGGCCTTGGAAACTGTAAATTGACACTTTTTGTGCCTTTGATAAAGTTTTACATTAAAATACAAATATATAATTGTTTTTAAATGGACTTAAAATGTGATGAGCCGATTTTAAAAAAATTGTCCAACGAGCTGAAAAATGTCGATTTCTCCGATTTCCTTATTTTAACGAGCGCCTGATTTCTTCTCGACGCCACACAAATGATTTATTTGAGTAGAAGCCCCAGCTCGCTAACTGTTTGCTATTACTCGTGCTGTGAAAATTGCTTTTGAAGTTGACTTGATAAAGAATTTTAACAGGTCTTAATTTAGTAGCAACGCAAAAGTTAGAGCTGACAGAGAGTGTCATTTTACTGGCGAGGTTTAGTGAGCACGAGGCAGCCATTTCTGAAGGAACTGTTATAGTACAGCATCTTACAGCTAGATTTTGTTCTGAGCTGCTTCTTGCACTACTAAAAACGAGTAAATATTCGATGACATCAAATGGCTTTCTTTTTAGATCTATGCCCAAAATATGTATTCACGATTTTTCAAATGAACAGTACGCGGAACAGATTTTTGACGTACAAGACAGCGAAGATGCATGGAACTCACAGAATGTTAGAGAAACAAGTAATAAAGACTTAGCACAACAGAGGTAGGGAACAGAATTGTTCAAGTCTTCTATTTTTAAAAAATCTTAGAATGAAAACAACACCCTTCGACCTGTACAATGAGTGGACTCCTTAGCAGCACACAGAAAGTGGCAAACAAGTAATAGAAATACAGTTGAATCCACTCTAACGACCACTTGTACAAGACAATCACCGGTACAAATGGCCACTTCTCCGTTGACCCCCCCCCCCCCACCTTGAGTGCTCTTACATGATAAGGATACTGTGTAGGACGTCCACCTGTCTAAGACAACATTTTTTTTCACCTCGACAATGGGCAGTCTTTAAATACGAGGTGCCCACTACGGACGGGATCGGCCGATCGGGCCAATCGCCAAACTCGATCGCCTCAAGAACAAATGTGTTTGTTTTAAGTTTCAGGCGATCGAGTCGGGCGATTGACCCGATCCAGCCGTTGTGGGCACCCCGACAGTTTTGCTGACGCTGAGTCCGCAGACCTTGTGAAGGCTATGAGGGTAAAGCAGAAAGCAATGTTCGCCGGCGCTTGTGGTTTAATATAACAAACACATTTACTCTCATGTAATGTAATGTAGTGTGTGTGTGTGTGTGTGTGTGTGTGTGTGTGTGTGT